CTTCAAATCTGAGAATAATTTAGTGTATGGAGTTTGGGATATGTTGATTGACCATTGGGATACAAAATCTTGAAAAAAAAAAAAATTGAAATTTTATCGTTTTAGTAAGAAGGTAAAGTTTGTTTCGCCAGGGTTTGTACTTGCCACCAGCATTTGCCTTCCTTGTTTAACAAATAAAAATTGACTGAAACAAATCAATGACGTGAAAAACGTTCGTCGGTTTTTAAATCAGAAGTCATTCATTTAATTTGTCAAAAAAATTGAATGTGTCATATGAATTAATCTACGACAACCCTTTTTTTTTCAAGTTTCAAGGTCATGTATGAACCCTGGTGAAACGAACCTTACCTACCTTATGATTTAGATTTTGGAAAACTTTGAAAGGTCATAACTTTTTGTCTATTATAGATAAAAAGCTGAAACTTTCACTGAATTTTATCCCAATCAAGGGACTAGAATCCCTGGAAATTTCAGCTCATTTGCACTTACAGTTCCTGAGATAAAATCGTGTTAAGCAATTTGGGGTGATTTATCAATTTTTCAATTTTTCTGAGTGCCTTTTTTCATAGATTTCGGCTTCAAATCATTGGGGGGCAATGCCCTATCTTTCAAATGATGATGCCCTACCTTTAAAACACAACATGCGTTAAGGTTTCTCTAGGAAATTTGAGAGTAGATAAATGAATAGGCCTGAAATCGAGTAAGTGCGAGGATAAAAGTTTCCAAAAACGCCTAAATGTGCGGGGTGTTTGACGTTTACACAGAGGAACTTTTTCCTTTAGAAAGATTGCGAAAGCAAGGATAATAACACATACATATATACTACCATATATGCATCAAAACATTCTGCCACCCAATCTAGCCATAGCCCGGAAACCTGACCAATCAAATTCGATGTGGCTATTTTGGGTGGCATAATGTTACTACATGCGCTGCATCAGGGGTCAGAATGTCGGGACGATGATGGCGCTATTTAGAGGGTCAGAATGTTATTGCATGGGCTAGATTCAGGGTCAGAATGTTACGTTATACAATTCAGAAATTAAGATTTTATTTGTGTTCCCTATGGATTTTTTCCATGAATATATTGATTAAATTGTTAGTTTTTTTATTGAAACGGAGGAATTAAGAAAAATAGGTATCCATTTTGGATATAAGGAGGAAAAAAAAAGCTTCCTTAGTGTTTTTCTTTTGTTGAAGGTCGCTAAATAGTTGGCGATTTTCAATATTATCCTCCCATATTGAACTATTATTTAGGTAAACAGTAGTAACATTTTCAGGACCTTCATCTACATATTCAGTCATGCTTTGATTTGCAACTGCAAATGGCATATAAAAATCTTTTGACTGGATATTCTCTCCATAAGCTAGCTGAGCCAATAAATACCTTGATTCGACACTATAGCTTGGAGTATTCGAAGATGCTTTTGGAAAATAATGTCATTTCCGGATAACAAGTTTGCACGATAAGTGTTTTCACTCACACTAGAATAAACATACGTTTTGGGTAGTTTTATCGCATCCATCTCTATCATAAATAAATATTAAAATGTCTTCACATAAATTTTAATAGAGCAATGAGCGGGAAATAAACAAAACATGTGACACTTCTAACGGACAAGTGCAACAGGCGTCCCGACATTCTGACGCCTGATCTAGCCCATGTAGTAACATTATGCCGCTTAAAATAGCCACGTCGAATTTGATTGGTCAGATTTTTGGGATATGACTAGATTGGGCGGCATAATGTTTTGATGCCTATCGTATAATGCCGTACACCGCTCAAAGACGACTGCACATCTTTCAGCGCATCGGAATAAAAAAGGATAGAAGAATTGGCCATTTTGACCTATGCTTTGACATTTATGAAATAATATAGCAAGTTTCATTGGTAGACCTAGTGCAGAAAAAATGTATTTTTATTTCTTTCTTTTACAAGCTGGTAGAAAAAGGCACGAATACAGTCAGTGCGCACTAACCCTCCCAATGAAATTCGCTATAAAAGTTACAGATGACTGTAATAATTATTTTGAAAACATTATTCATAGTTCATTGTTCTGAGGTGCTCGACACCAAAATTTATAAAAATATGTGCGTTTTTATTCTCATCGGTGGCTTCACCGATGAATTAGCTATCTTTGTTTAGTGAATGGAAAATGACAATGACCGACAGAAAATGGTGGATCCAGCGGTAAAATTTGATGAGAATAAAAACGCATGGAATGTTATTTATGAATTTGTGGAAGTTGTCATTTTTGAAATTCCCGCTAAAAATATAGGTCAAAATGGCAGCCTCCTATGTTACACTGGTCGGTGGTCGGTCGTCGCACTTTAGCGGTATACGTATTAGAATATAAGTATGTGGATAATACACACTACTGCATAGGATTGTTTATCGGCCTGGTTTGTGGAAATCGTGGCCATCATATGGTCTGCCACCATTGACGACAACTTCAACTACTGTGCTAAAATCAAGTATGCATAAAGCAAAAGCCCGCGTGAGCTAGGTACAGTTGTGAGCATTAAAAGTGAGTGGGAGACCCGACTGACAGGTCTTGTCATTTTTCGCTATTTTGGGTAAATCATTTTTTTCTATACAACGGATTTTTTGTCAAATATCACAATCCCTGTCATTGCCGACGGTGTAGGTGGTGAGCCCGTTTTACAATAGGAAAAATCGGGTGTTCCATTTTTGTACCACCACGACTGTACCTGTGGTGCAAACACCTTACGTCAAGGCGAGGAATGATACCCTGCCTAAGTCATCACTGGTTCTCTGGCGTAGTAGGGAGCTTGAGATTTGATCTACTGGCCTTATGAGGATAAGCTATCCTGTAGTAGTACTTAGTGTGTATTATCATTGGTGCGAATGGTCCAAAACGGTGCGAGAATCAGCGCCATTTTGTTTGCCAGTTATGTTATTTATTGAAAAATTTGCCGTCGGCCCCATTTTGTTTACCTATAAAAAATTCAAGGGAGAGGGGCAAGCAGTGTATGCCCTATGTCAAATTTGTCATGCCCTATCACAAATTTGACTCTAGCTACGGCCCTGCTTCAAATGAATTAATCTACGACAACCCTTTTTTGGTGAAACGAACCTTACCTACCTTATGATTTAGATTTTGGAAAACTTTGAAAGGTCATAACTTTTTGTCTATTATAGATATAAAGCTGAAACTTTCACTGAATTTTATCCCAATCAAGGGACTAGAATTCCTGGAAATTTCAGCTCATTTGCACTTATAGTTCCTGAGATAAAATTGTGTTAAGCAATTTGGGGTGATTTATCAATTTTTCAATAGATTTAGATATATCAATTTTTCAATTTTTCTGAGTGCATTTTTTCATACATTTCAGCTTCAAATCTGAGAATAATTTAGTGTATGAAGTTGGAGGATCTCAAATGACTATTAAGACTCAAAATCTCAACAAAAAAAAAATTGAAATTTCATCGTTTTAGTATAAGAAGGTAGGTATTAACCTTATGATTTAGATTTTCAAAAACTTTGGAAGGGCATAACTTATTTTCTATTTTAGATAAAAAGCTGAAATTTTCACTGAAACTGATTCCAATCGAGGGACTACAATCCCTGAAAATTTCAGCTCATTTGCACTTATAGTTCCTGTGATAAAATCGTGTTAAGCAATTCGGGGTGATTTATCAATTTTTCAAAAAGTTTCGAGAAAAGTCAACAGAGCAACAGATGAAGACCTAGAGTATAAATTCATATAACTGAACCAGAATTAATTGAAATTCCAACGTCTCTAAAAACTTGAAGATTCTGTGAAAACATAATAAATCTACTCAGACCCATTTTGGAGCTAGAATATAGATTTACAACTGCAGTTAGCAGAAATTTATTTTCTGATGATAAATCTGAAGATTTTGAATATCTTTGCCTCTGCACACATCCATGTTAATTATTGATCCCTAGTTGCCTCCGTTTAATACTAAATTACATAAATTATTGGTCTTCCAGATAACAATGTGATAAAACCTGGGGCTGTAGATACTTAATGGAAGTAAATCTAAAAATACGTGTAGGCATTTCGATATTCTTCGCAATTATCGGGGCAAAGGTCGGAAACGGCCCAGAGGCCGCGGATCTGCTTGCAGAATAGGAAATTCTACTCTGCAACTGTGATGGCGTTCTTACGTCAATTAATGTAACGGGCGGAGATTGCATGCGAACAATCTAAACAATGGAAATTATCCCGAGAAATTGAAGATTGACCTTAATTTTTGTTTTTAACTAGGTATTTTAATTTCATAATTATGCCCAAAAAAACTTTTTTGATATATTGAAAGTCACACGTTACCAATATACTAATAAATTAACATCATGCATTGCAATTTGTTGAAAACGGATGCTACATACATAGTTTTCTGTAATTTCATGTTTAGTTTTGTTTTTTTTGAAACGACCAAAATGTAGTTTACTAGGTGAACACCGTTGAAGAGTTTTTCTCGCCCCGCGCCGTCAGATTATTATTGAACATATACAAGAAAACCTATCATTTCGTATTAGTAACAGCCAGATAGAAAACGATCATTACGTCGTTTTCATAACTGTTAATTGGATTATGATTGTAGATTATGTTTTTAGGAGTTCGTGTAACATTATCTGATGTTGGCCTAACCCCCTTTCTATATCGAGCTTGGCTTTTCGCAGATGGCTATAGTTTATGGACAATAATGTCAACAATTATTTAGATTAAAATTTTAATGTATTATTATTAAAGTTTGTCTTGTATAGCTTTCATACGATTTTAGAACCTGTTACCGGAGCTCATTGAACATTAAAGTATAACGTCAAGTAAGAATAAAGCAATAGAAGAAAGTACAAGTAATTAAGAAAGGTCGTACGTACATGTAGTGTACTAGACGAGTTGGAAATTGGATTTTTAATCTTTCCAATTCTAAATAAAAATTCTAATCTTGTCAAAATACCATCTTTCAATTTGGTTCAAAAATGAAGTTTTTAAATTGCTTCGATGTTACGATGTTTCTCCAGTTAAAAAATCATATTTTCCAAACCAAATTATGGTTCAGTGATTTCAACTTGTCCTCCAAAATCTCCGGATTTGATTCCCTTGTGTTTTCTTTTTCTTAAAAAAATATCCATCACTTGTATTCAGTATGTATAAAAAACATAATTTTTTTTTTTTGCATTTCAGATGGCGAAATTTCTTGGTGCTATTTTTAATGATTCACGTAAGTATACTAATTTATCCGATTCATAGGCGCAACTAGGGGGGTGCTTGAGGGTGCTAAGCACCCCTAAAGCAAAAATTAGCACTCCCATTCGGCATCCCACCATAGCACTACCTATAGTGGCACTACTTAAAAAATTAGTGCAACCAAATTATTTAATTTTTTTGCACTCTTTGTAGTTACTTACGTCATCGATGATGTCATAATTTAGAAATTTTAGATTTTACTATCATTTCTCTGCGATTCTAAATTCACTTTTTCGCAAATATTACCTCATTTTTTCGCGATTCTTATCTCACTTTTTCACGAATTTACACTAACTTTTTTTAAAATCTTTGACTCATTTTTTTTGCGATTTTTGACCCACGTTTTTGCAATTTTCAACTTTCTTGCGACTTTTGGCTTTTCTTTTTTTCGATTTTTGACTCTCTTTTTTGCGATTTTGTCATTACTTTTTTTGCGATTTTTGCCTCACTTTTTTGCGATTTTACCCTCACTCCTCCGCGATTACAAACTTATTTTTCCGCTATTTCATCTTCATTTTTTCGCGATTCTTACCTCGATTTTTTCCCTAATTTCCCCGATTTTATCTTCACTTTTCCGCGAATTTGACCTCACTTTTTTGCGATTTTTGAATATTTTTTTTTTGCAATTTTTGATTCATTTTTTTGCGATTTCACCATCACTTACTGCGATTTTAAATCCACTTTTTCGCGATTGTAAACCCACTTTTCTGTAAATATTATCTCATTTTTCCGTGATTCTTGTCTCATTTGTTTTTTGCGATGTTATCCTCACTTTTCCGCGATTCCTATTTCATTCTCCGCGATTTTATCTTCAATTTTCGTGACTTTATCCTCATTTTCCCGCGAGTCTCATCTTACTTTTCCGCGAATTTAAACTCACTTTTTTTTTTTAATTTTTGACTCTTTTTTTTAAGATTTCATCATCACTTTCCGCGATTTTATCCTCATTTTTCCTCATTTCAAAATTATACGAGAATAACAATAATTTTTGAAAAGTTACGAAAAATTACGGGAATTACGTTAAAGTACGTAAAATATGAAAAACTATGAGAATTGCAAACATTTACGAGAATTACGGAACGTGACGAAAATCACGGAATAACAAAAAATTGCGGGAATTACAAAAATTATGGGAATTGCCAAATATTACTTCAAAGAATTACGAAGTTACTCCAAAATTACGTCAATTATTTAAACATTACTAATTTTTGAAAAGTTACGAAAACTAACAAGACAAATTACGGGAATTACGAAAAATAATGGGAATTATAAAAATTTACGGAACTTAGTAAAATGACGGAAATTGCGAAAATTTACGGGAATTATGAGACATTATAAAAATTACGGGAATTAAAGAAAATACGAAAAACTACGAAAATTACAAAAATTACGGGTATTACGAAATATTACGGGAAAGAATTACAAAGTTATTCCAAAATTACGTGAATTACGGTAATTCCCAAAATAACGGAAATCACAAGTTTTCAAAATTACGAAAATCACAATAACTTAGGGAGAATTAGAAAATTCCGAATTTTATTGGAAATTAGGAAAGTTGAAAATTACAAAATTGAAAATACAAATAATTACTAAAATTACGAAAACATCACGATGGGAAAAGCGTGAAAAATTGCGGGAATAACAAAAATTATCAAGTTTTCCAAAAATTGAAAAAAATAAGGGGGAATTAGAAAATAACAAGAATTATCTGAGAAATGACAGGAATTAAAAAAATTCGAAAATCCCCAAAAAAAAAAATACGGAAATTACCAGCTTTCGAAAATTTCAAAAACTTAGGGGAAATTATAAAAGTAACGGAGTTTTTTTGAGAAATTACGGAAATTAAAAAATTACGAAAATAATGGGAATTACGAAAATTTCGGGTTTTTCGAAAATTGTCAAAACTAAAGGGGTATTATGAAAATAACGAGAATTATCTGAGAAATGACAGGAATTACAAAATCTCGAAAATTTCCAAAATAAAATACGAAAATTACGAGAATTACATAATTTTGGAATTATGAAAATAACGGAGTTTTCTGAGAAATTACAGAAATTAAAAAATTACGGAAATCTGAGAACTACAGGAATTATTCAAAAATTATGAAAAATACGAAAAAAATTGTGACAATTTTCAAAAAATTACAAAAATAACAAGAATTACAAAAAGTTACGGGATTCACGAATTTTCCAAAAATTGCAAAAACTAAGGAGGAATTATGATATTAACGAAGAATTTTTTTGAGAAATGGCGGGAATTTTAAAATTTTCGAAAATTCCAAGAAAAAAAAAATTACGGGAATTACCAAGTTTTGAGAATCACAACAAATTTGGGGGGAATTATGAAGATAACGGAGTTTTTTGAAAAATTACGGGAATTACAAAATTACGAAAATTTGAGGAATTACAGGAAACATAAAAATTGAAAGAAATAAGAAAAAATCACGGGAATTGTGAAAAAATTACGATAATTTTTGGAAAGTTACGGGATTTATGAAAAAGTTACGGGAATTACGGAAATTACGAGTTTTCCAAGATTTGCAATGACTAAGGAAGAATTATAGAAATAGGAAGAATTATCTGAAAAATTACGGAAATAATGAAAATTCACAAAAAAAAAAAAAATTGAAAATTACGGGAATTACGAATTTTTGAAAATAACAAAAACTAAGGGGGAATTATGAAATAAGTAATTGAATATTTTAAGAAATTACGAAAATTAAAAAATTACGAAAATCTGAGAAACAACAGCAATTATTCAAAAATTACGATAATTACAGAAAAATTACGATGAACTTTGGAAAATTATGAAAATTACGAGTTTTGCGAAAATTGCAAAAACTAAGGAAAAATTATAAAAATAACGAAATTTAGTTGAGAAATAACGGCTTTTAACAATTTTTTTTCGCAATTTCACCTTCACTTTTCCGCAATTTCAAAGTCCAAATTCACTTTTTCGCAATTTCAGCAAATTTTTCCGCGAATTTTGCCTCACTTTTCCGTTATTCTTGCCTGATTTTTCAATAAGTATAACCTCACTTTTCCGCGATTTTCGCCTCACATTTCCGCAATTTCAACTTAATTTTTTCATAATCTTTACTTTTGTTTTTCGTATTTAAAATTTCATTTTTTCTTGATTATAACCTTGCTTTTCCGCCATTTTTACTCAACTTTTTCCAACCTCATTTTTCTGTAATTTCTACTTCTATTTTTCGTTAATTCCAACGTCACTTTCCTGCGATTTTGACACTCACTTTTTCGCAATTTTTGAAAAGTTACGCAAATTACGGAAAATTGCAGAAATTACGAAAAATTACTGAAATTATAAAAATAAAGAGAATCACGGAAATTACAAAAATTATGGGAATTACGAAAATCACGAATTTTTGAAATTATGAAAATTACAAAACTTGGGGGGAGTTCAAAAATAACAAAGTTTTTTAAAAAATTAGGAGAATTAAAAATAGGTACAAAAAATTACGGGAATTACGAAAAAATTATGATTTTTGAAGTTATGGGAAAATTACGAAAAAGTTACGGGAGAACTACGAAAATTATGAGTTTTTCGAAGGAAAAAATTTGAAAATTTCCCAGGAGAAAGAGGAAAGTGAGGAGATCATTTTTTCATCAAATTTTCTAGTGAAAAATCACTCCAAGGAAAGTTCTAGACAATTGACTTTTTTGAGCAAAATTTATAATTTCACATTTCAATTTTTTTCTGGAAAATTAGCAAAGCAAAAATTGTGAAATTTTTTCAAAAGAAAAAGGAAACTGAGGAACTCATTATAGGAAAATTTCAAAATTTTCCAATAAAAAATTCTGGAAAATTGTCTTTTTCAAGTGAAATGAAAAAAAAAAAATTATCTTTTTACATTTAAATTTTTTTCTGAAAAACTGGCAAAGGAAAAATTTCGAAAATTTTCCAGGAAAAAGAAGAAAGTTAGTAGCTCATTATATAAAAATTTCAAAATTTTCCAGTAAAAAATCACTCCAGGAGAAGTTCTGGAAAACTGACTTTTAAGCAAAATTCATTCTTTTTGTTTTAATTTTTTTCTGGAAAACTGGCAGAAAGAAAATTTCAAAATTTTCCAGTGAAAAATCACTCCAGGAAAAATTCTGAAAAATTGACTTTTTCAAGTAAAATTAAGAAAAATTCATCCTTTCACATTTCAAAATGGTGCTGCAGCACCCCTCTAATTTGGAGCTTAGTTGCGCTTATGATCCGATTATTATTTGCTTATACACTAATTTTTGTTTTGACAGAATATTCACTGCGAAGAACCCTCCTCATCAGAAAATTCTTTAGTAGAATTTAGTGTAAGTAGCAGTACAAGCGAAGAAATTCCACCAGCAAACAATCTAACCGAAACACTAATTGAAACTAATAATGAAGACACCAATCACACTAGAGAAGCATTAACTCAGGACGCCAGCGAACCCGATTCGGTAAGCATAAAATTTCAATTTTTCAAATTACTGTTGCAAAGATAACAAACCAGCATTCAAAAATAATTGTAACGACTCGGAACCGATCGTCGGTTTTATATTTTACAACTGTAACTCGAAATAGTCTTCCATTATAACTTAACACTATGAATTTAAACAATAGTAATCAAAGGAATTAATAATAATGATATGGAAAGAGGGAGAAAAGAAGTCATGGTATAATTTTTATTTTGCAAGCAAAGAAAGTGTGAATTTTTTAAATACATTTTTAGTGTTTTTAGATACTATAAAATTTCAAGACGATTAAGGATTTATAGTATTTGAGTACTGAGAAAATTTAGAGATAGGTTTTGGAATGAAGACATCTTAGAGCCAAGGGGTAAACCCCCTCCGAATTTGTACAAACAATTTCTCAAACTTCCCGCAATTTCCTCACAAATTCCTCCAAACTGCTCGCAAATTCCCTATTCTGTTACAAATTCTATAAAATTCCCCAAAATTGTTTGTGATAAGAAATGTAAGTAGTATACCAAAGCAAGTTTCACTACAAAAATCCGACCATAACCTCAATCTTGCATTTTTGACGCGAAGGTGGAATCGGTCTCGAAAAGCTGTCTTTATAGACAAAACTGTCACCAAAAGCTGTCTGTGCCGACAGGCAGTGGCGACGCCAGGGTTTTACGTTAGGGGGGGCCAGGCTGGGCCAGAAAAAATTAGGGGGGGCACTTGTTCTTACTTTATTGCTTTTCTTCTTTGAAATAAAAAATGGGAATTTCAAAGTTTACCCGTATATTTTTGCACTCCACCTGAACAGCTTCATTGAATGTAGGTATCAAAATAGCTATTTTCCTAACGAGTGCGGGAAGAGAAATTTCCGGCACGAGGGTGCGAAGCACCCGACTGCCGGAAATTTCTTCCCGCAAGAGTTAGGAACTATATTTTTTCTACGAGCATACTAAAGCTAATGTTACGAAGAGTTTAATTTAAATAAAATGCGATTATGCAGAAGGTAGATTTAAAAATGTATTAAAAGGTATTTATAAAAATGTAAAGGTACAGGTATAGGTGTATCAACAATACAAACAATTCCATGTCACAATGATTGTTTCAAACTCTTCCCGCACTGAGTGCGGGAAGGAATCTCTTCCCACACCGGTGCGGGAAGAAAGTCTTCCTGCACAGCAAATCGTGCGGGAAGAGCCATTTCCCGCACGCTCGTAGAAAAAGGTTTTTATTTGGATTTTGTATACAGGGTGTCCGTTTTTCGAGGACAACTATTGGAATATAGGAAACGGTAAGAGATACAAAATCGGAATCAATGGCCAAATGTGTTACTGCTTTTGGGAGATCAAGAAACTCCGAATACAATTCATAAAAATGCAAACCTCTATTTAAAAAAATAAAGTTGATGATGATCGGCAAAAGAAGAAACGTCGGATTTCAAATTTGGTTACACCATTATGTAGAGGGGAGAAAGTTGCCCCAATAAAGTGAAGTTTATTTGAAATACCTTTACAAATGAGTCCAGGAAAATATAGAAATGATTTTACAAAATTTTGATTTCCATGTAGATATCTCCGGAAGTATTCGGAATTTTCCAAATTTCGAAGTAGCGTTTTGTTGAGCAAGAAATTGCGCAGTTTTGTCCCAATTTAGCCGAACCTGTATCTCTTACCGTTTCCTATATTCCAATGATTGCTCTCGAAAAACGGACACCCTGTATAGGTAAATCTTCTTGATACCTTTTCAATTAACCGTTCAGGATCGGTTTCTCGATAGCTAGTCCAGGGTAAACGTGTCCAACGTGCAATGTTTACCCTGGAGTTATGGTTAACTCGAGGGTTAACTGCTCTGACCCGGGGGTGACTTGCTTGCTATTGAGAAACCGGCCTTCAGGTGAAGTGCCAAAAATATACAGGAAAACCCTGTACCTGCTGACACAAATATGTTTGGGGGAATCCCAGAGAAGCGAAAGCATAGTCGCGGTTGCCTGGCGCCCACTAAATATCAAATACAGAAAGCAGAGGTTACTCATGTTGCATTGCATTGTTGTCGACATGAAGGCAAGTTTTCAGGGGGGGGCAGCTAAATTTCAGGGGGGTACTGTTTTAGCACAATTGACTACTTGGCCAGCAAAATGGAATTTATCTTTAATTGTTGTAAGAACAAACCACCAGGTAACAAATTATGAAGGACGTCAAACATTGCTTCTGTGTAGTTTGCCATAATGTTTTTCATAAAAGCTGTGTGGAGATAAAATCTGGGTTTAAAGCGATCGAACTGCATAAGATTTTCTGATCCAAGCTATGTGGAGAAGCTCATGTAGAAAATTTGAATGATGAATCCGAAAATCTCAGCTTAATAACATCAAAGTTGATGAAAACTCTGCAGCAGAAGGAAGAAAAATATTCTCACTTGAAGCAAAAATATATTTCCATTACAGCTGAATTGGGAACAACTAAAAAAAAGTTAGCAGGCTTCACCAATCATCAAGCAACCATAGAAGAGAAGAGTTACAGAAGGAGGTTGCACTGCTAAAGAAGGAAATCGGGCACAAGGATGCTGTGCTCAGTGCTAGTGGGGAAACAATCAGGTCTTTAAGGAGTGAACAGGAATCAGAAGATAACACAAATGAATCCATGAAGTCTGAGGATTTAATTAGAAAAATTACAAATGACACGGTTGGTCAATTAGAGGACCGCATGTACAACAAACTCAGAGGAGTAGCTCAAATTATTTTTGACTCTAATAAAGAACTTATCAACTTTATGTTTACTGAAAAGCCTGAGAATTACGCTAATGCCATCAGGAAATCACCAGCAAAACCTGCCCAACCTATTCAAAGCACGAGCAATATTGGTCTCCTTTCTATTTCTATTTCTACTCAACAAAACTTTTCGGCAACGGCAATACCTGCCAAAGCATCTTTCATCACCGGCACTAGGAAACCGGAGAGTATATTAACCATTTCTGCTGCAGAGCTAGTGCCCAAAACAGTAGTTTGTGTCCGAAAAGTCTCGACCACCGTTGGCGAGGCTAATTTCACAAAATACTTAACAAATACCTTTGGATCTGACCACCAATTCAAGGTACAAGAATTTCCATCTAGATCTGGCGAATACAAGAGTTTTGGGGTTGAAGCGGATAAAAGATTAGAAGACAAACTGCTCAATGCCAGCAATTGGCCCATGAATATAGAGATTGGCAAATTTCATTCCTTTCGTCACAGACCTCCAACCACTCATCAGACTAAATTTTTCAGAGGTAAGCAGCCTGGGCGGGGTCAAAGGCACTCCCACAACCACAACCCTCAATAGAAACCCACAACCTATAACCATCCCATCTACTCTTAATTTTTACTACCAAAATATGGGTGGCCTAAGAACAAAAACACAAGAACTCTTTAGAAATGCTGTTAGCTGTAATTTTGACTACATAGTCCTCACTAAAACGAGGCTAAATTCCTCTTTCAACAATTCTGAATTATTGCCTCCCCTCTACACAATATTCCGAGCCGATCAGGATTATGCAGCAACCAACATGCATCGAGGAGGGGGAGTTTCAATAGCGCTAGACAGCAACTCTCAGTCTTCGCTTATACCGACTGCAAACTTTATTGAATTTGAACAAATATGAATCCACTGTATCTGTCACAGCTGTGAGATGGTGATCGGATCAGCATACCTCCCTCCAAGTTCCCCTGAGATGACTTACAGGTCATTTGTAACAGTATGTGAATCATCGAAAAACAAATATGCAAATGCCAGTTTTATCATATTCGGCGACTTCAATGTTCCGAATGTCAACTGGATCACAGAGGATGATTTTCTGGTACCTGAATCTCCACATAGATAGTATGTTCTTCATGGAACTTCAGCAACTTAACAATGTGAAGAACAGCTACAATAGATCCCTGGATCTCATTTTCGCAACTGAACTTTCTCTACCTGTGATCAAAATCAGTGACTTTCCACTGTGTAGGGTGGTTGATATACATCCCCGTCTGGAGCTTAGTTTCTCATATGAAAGTATACAAATGCTAAAAGCCGAGGATCCTGCTACTATCTACCTTTTTAAACAAGCAAACTATACGAAACTGAACAATTACTTCAACAGTATTGACTGGAATCTGTGCTTACGTAATGGCGACTCTAATGAAGCGGTTGATAGTTTGTACGAAGTTATACAACAAGGAATTAATCAGTTTGTTCCCAAAAAAACCATCAGGGTAGACAAATATCCCAATTGGTTCAACTCTAAATCGACTCTACAAGAAGTACAGAAGATCAAGACGGCAAACGGACTATGAAGCTTACTCTGCCCGGAAAGACGTGAAGTACCATAGTGATATAATATGCTACCTGTTACATGTTACCAAAGCTCAGCATTTGATCCCGTCAAATGTGAAACACTTCTGGTCATTTATAAGATCTTTGAAGAGAGATGCAGGCTTGCCGAATCAGATGCATTTTAACAATATCTTCGAACCCTCAACAGATTGCTGAACTCTTTGCTAAAGGCATAAGGATGTTGAGATCAAGGAAGACTACTGCTCAGTCCCTTTTGGACCTTACCTCTCCGATCATCTTTTCATGGCCGAGGAAATACAGAGAACATTTCTGGATCTTGATACTTCAAAGAGTCCTGGACCAGATGGTCTCTCGCCAGTGTTTTTTAAAGGCTGTTGCACATCGCTGATAGAACCTCTAAGGCATATTTTCCAACTTTCTTTTGATACTGCAAGTCCATTATCTGTCTATATTACAGTCTTATTCGATCCACTCTTGAATACTGCAGCCCAATTTGGACTCCAAGTCACGTATGCCACATTAGGAGGATAGAAGGAGTGCAAAATAAATTTGCCAAATACCTGCTCTACAAAGTGAGATTTCCTTACCAGAACCTTGAGTGTGAGACTCGTCTACAGCTCTGCGGCATACCCAGCCTTGAGAATCGACGCAAAAAGGCCCAGCTCATTTTTCTCTACAAAATTCTGCAGA